CCTTTTCCCCTTTTCCCGAGCGGATTCGAACCCTGGACCCCTGCGCGCGGGCCGGACGTACTACCTGTATGCTGGGGAAGGAGACGTTGAGCCTGTGGTACTGGAGCTTCCTATTTCTCCCAGTGCGCTCTGTGGCCACGGAGAAGGAGTGATGGCGGAACACGGCGCGGCTCATCTCTGATCTCTGATGATGACGACTGGGTCACCAGCCAGCCGCCCACACAACAGCCAGCTGCACACGTACGTTATAACGGTGGTCACATCACAGCCGGGTACATACGGCCAGCAAAGCAAACCACCCTACCCTCAGACGAGAAGATTTCTTCTTCTACTTCTTTGTTTTTGTTCGTTTGTTTCCGCTGAGAATGTTTTCATTTTAGTTTTTACGGCGTTTGCAACTGTGTAAGGTCATATGAGCGCCTCCGCTGAGAATGAAGCTCCGAGTCTGAAAGTGTGTCTGAAGGCCACCTCCAACACGGAACAATGGCCGACTGATGAAAGGACGTTTCTATAACATCATGGCCGTACCTATGGCATAGAGCAACGATGAAAGAACATATTTCTATACCAAGACCTTCCTGTGAAACTACATTTAGTATATCACGTCCGTGCCTCCAACACGGACTAATGATGAAAAGACATTTCTATAATATTATGTCCTTGACCTCGACCATCAATAATTTATATATAGAGAGGCACCAGCCATCCATGCCCAAGTGTTGTTTTAGTCGTATCTATAAAAAGAACATTAGTACATCACGTCACTACCTCCGACAGGGAACAAGGATGAAAGGACATAATTTGTACCACGTCCCTACTTCTTACAACAGGGACCAATAATAATATGTGTATCGCGTCCCAACCTCCAACAAAGAACAATAATGAAAAGACATACTTTTTATATCACATCCTTAGCTGCGACGACACGGGACACAATTATAAATAAAAGGACATATTTATATTATGTCCTTGACCTTGACCATCAATAGGTTATATATAGAGGCACCA